GTTGATGCAATTTGCATCGACTATTTGATTAATCAATAGGGCGCCTCCACCTGTCAAGTGCAGCAACAGCCCTAGGGCTAGTGGTACATGTCAAAAGCAAAAGTGCTGTGAGGAGCACTGCCCCGTGCTGCCTGCAGAGTTTCAAAACTGCGGCGCTGCAGGGAGCCCGGGATCAGCTGGGGACTCCCCTGCTGGCTCTGGGCTCCATGTGGCACTTCAAAGCGGCAGTGCCACACGGAGCCCAGAGTCAGCGGGAAAGTCTCCAGCTGATACCGGGCTCCACACAGGGCTGGATTACCCAATAGGCAGACTAAGCACGTGCTTAGGGCACCAGCAAAGCAGGGGCGCACAAAGAAAGAGATTTTACAGTATAGTATTGTTTTTATTTTGAATTACATATGGGGGGGCACCATCATCTTTTCAGTGCTTAGGGCCTCTAAAGGTCTTAATCTGGCCCTGGCCACGTGTGCTCCAGCTTTGAAATGCTGCATGCAGCCTGGGGACACCCCAGCTGGCCCCAGGCTCCATGTGGCACTGCCACTTTGAAATACCCCTTCTTCTTTCCCCACCCTTGTTGCCTCTGATAGAGGCAGCAAAGGGGTGGGGGGAGCAACTAGACAATTAACTGTTGACTATCCGATAAGCATTTTCTTATTGGATAGTTGACTAGTCGGTCACATTCCTAAATCCAGCAGGAGGAAGGAGCTGAACACCCTATTAAGCAGTTTTTGTAGGATAATCCCATCAGAACCCTTCAATGTTTTTCACATCTCTAAAAATTCTCCTTAGTATTTCCTGTGCCCATGGAGGGATCCCAGCATACATTGTTCAGCAATGTCTGAACAAGAACCACCATACAGTGAGGCTTCTGGCATTGTTTATTTGGGGATAAATTCATTGAACTAACGAGACTTAAGTGCAGAGGATAAGAGGATAGAAGATAACATGTAAAAGTTAGTTGAGATTAATGTCTGTGCCCCACACCCTGGTTTGCAGAATATAAATTGCAGAGAAATGGGTTTAACTCAGTCTTTGTTTTTGAGATGGAAGGACCTCAGCTTGCAATCAAAGCATAGGAGAGATCCTTCAGAGACAAACAAGAGAGGTGGTTATAGTTACCAGATGATTTAAAAAAAATATCAGACACACTTGATCTCAGATGCAGGGAGCCAGCTGGGAGGGGAGCGGGGCTGGCCAGAAGGAGGTTGGGGGGAGCGGGGCTGGCCAGGAGAGATTGAGGGGAGGGGGGTGTCCCAGCCAGTGGGGAGCAGAGCTGGTCGGGAGGGGAGCGGACAAACAAGAGAGGTGGTTATAGTTACCAGATGATTTAAAAAAAATATCAGACACACTTGATCTCAGATGCAGGGAGCCAGCTGGGAGGGGAGCGGGGCTGGCCAGAAGGAGGTTGGGGGGAGCGGGGCTGGCCAGGAGAGATTGAGGGGAGGGGGGTGTCCCAGCCAGTGGGGAGCAGAGCTGGTCGGGAGGGGAGCG